GGCCTTTCTGTTCTGTTCTGAAGAAGCTCTCTCATTCTTTTCAACAAGGATAGGCTGAGAATGTTCCACATCTTCAGTTCTGCTTCACTTTTGATGAACAATCCCATGTTGAAGTCATTTCTCTCCTCTTGCATTTTACTGTAAGCAGTCAAGAGAAACCAGGTCGTTCCTTCAACACTTTGCTTAGAAATTGCCTCATCAAATATCCAGGTTCATTGCTCACAAGTTCTACCTTCCACAGAAGACTAGGGCTTGAAGACAATTCAGCCAGTTCTTTGCCACTTTATAACAAGGATGGCCTTTCCTCCGTTGTCCAATAACATTTCCTCATTTTCGTTTGAGACCTTATCAGAATGGCCTTTACCATCCATATTTCTACCCACATTCTGCTCACAACCACTTAGCAATCTCCAGGAAGATGGAGGCTGTTTCTCCAGCTCTCCTCTTTTCTTTCTGAGGACTCACCAGAATCATCTTTAAAGGTCTGTTCACGGCAATGCAGGCTTTCTCTAGTATGCATCTCAAAACTTCCAGCCTCAGCCCACTACCCAGTTCCAAAGCCTCTTCCACTCTTCTGGGTATTTGTGACAGAAGCAGCCCCACTTCTCAGTACCAATTTCCTGTCTTATTCCTTTGGGTTATAACAAAATACTATAAACTGGGTGGCCTATAAACAATAGACATTTACGTCTCACAGTTCTGGAGGCTCAGAATTCCAAGATTAAGGCACTGGTAGATTCAGTGCCCGGTGAGAACTCGCTTCTCACTGTGTCTTCACGTGGAAGAAGGAGTAAGGGAGCTCCCTGGTGTCTCTTGTATAAGGACACTAATCTCATTCATGAGGGCTCTGCCCTCGTGACCTAATCACCTTCTAAAGGTTCTACTTCCTAATACCATCACATCGGGGATTAGGATTTCAACATTTGAATCTTGCGGGCACACAAATATTCAGCCCATAGCACTGAGTTAAATCACCATGGACACAAGATTCAGAATACTATGGAAATCTAATCCCAAATAAAATGAATCTTTGGACCACACCATTGGTCAACAGAGGTTCTCAGAAAATAATCAACTATCATTGTACCTATCAAATGAAAGGACAATTTTTTCATTCACTAAAAACAATTTAAGTATGAATCATCACACTAATGCAAATTTTTAAAAAAGAAGGCCAGTGGTGAAGAGGTGTAAAACCAATGACTTCAGGTGGCAAAACTTGGTAGTATTCCATTTCCTGAGATGTTATAGATGTAGGTTAGCACATTGTTCATGAACAAAGATGGGGAAAAAGGATTTAAAGAAGAAAATTTGTAGGAAAGGGTGAATCCTACTCAGTCTGCAGAAAAGGAAGTTGTGATTGAACACACAGTTTCATGACAGACTCAAATGGGGTGATGACCAACAATGTGTGTGGCTTATTATCTTAATCATTCATTATTTATTACATATTGGCTGTATTCAACATGCATTTAGGGCTTTACTGTTTAAAACACACTTTTACATGCTCACGGTTGAGAAAACTGGGCTCAAACATAATTACAGCCACGTACTGCATAACAACGATTCAGTCAACAATAGACTACATAAATGGCAGTGGGCCCATAACATTAGTACCATACAGCCTAGGTGTGTAGTAGGCTATACCATCTAGGTTTGTGTAAGTACTCTCTATGATGTTCACACAATGACAAAATCTCCTAACAATGCAGCTCTCAGAACATATCCTTGTCATTAAGCAACACAAGACTGTAGTCCGTGAGGACACTGTCAGGAAATGACTGACCTAGAGATGAACACTGGGAGATGTACACAAAACAAGTAATAATCCAAGAGAGCATTTCAAAAGGACTTAAAGTACACACACACACGTAAGCTACAGGTTTCTAGCTGGATTTTCAGGCACCTAGACACCCTACCTGTAACACAAGGTAGCAGTCAGCCAACGGATAATGAAGACCCTGGCATTTTTTAAAAATCTAACTATTATGCAAAAGAATAAATGAGTTGATAAAAATCACCAATATTTAGTCCTCTCCCACATTCCTTACTGGCTACCAATTGCTATTTGGCATACTCTACCTCTGGTTTCTCTTTCTCTCATCTAGAGAATTTCCAGATAGTTGAAAGTAAACCCAGGGCTGTGTGATCAGAGCCAGGTATGTAAAGCTCCCAGAGACTCGAGTTCCACATTGCAGGCCCACTTCTACTCGGCTTGGGGAACCCCCCGTCTCTACCGGAGGGAAGTGGAAGGACGGGCAGGCAGCTTTCTTCTCTCCCTCCCCACCGACCAGATGGTCAGAACGACCACCGCACACGATACCACCCCAGACAACGTTCTCCCACTGGCCTCTTCTTTCATCAGAACACATAAGCTTGATAACGTCACTACCCAGAAGGGGGATTTCTTTCGTTTTCCCTCCACGCCTTTTCCTTTTCCCTGGTCTAGTTCTCACCCAGTTTTACTCCTTTGAACTAAATGTTTCATGAGTATTCCAGGCAGATATTTCAGACATTTTAACAGCCACCATCTGCTATCAACCAACTATCTATCTTTCCTTTTTTCGTTCTGTAAAAGGTTAGAGAATTCTACTAAACATTTAAAATGCTTTCTGTATAACCTAGGAAAGATGCAATTATTCTCCTTACGAGGTATTACACATTTGTGTCAACTATTTCTCTTCTGTTCAGTGAGCTCAAGTAATTACACCAATCTCTGAATAGTTATTATCAAAAACAAAGCAAATTGAAAAAAATCATGTTTACTACTGCAACAGTTTGCTATTGCTGCTACAACAAATTACCACAAACTTAGAGGCTTAAAACAACATAGATTGATGACCATGTGGTCTAGAGGTCAGCATCTGGCACGGGTCTCACCAGGGCAAACGGGGGTGCTGGCAGGGCTGCCTTCCTTTTGGGAGGTGCTGGAGGAGAATCCATTTCCTGCTCATTCAGACATTGGCAGGATTCAGTTCCATCCAGCTGTAGGACTGTGTGCCCTCTGCCTTGCTAGCTGTCAGAGGGGAGCAGTCCTTGGCTCCTAGAAGCCTCCATGCTCTCCTCACAGGAGAGCTCTACATCTCAGAACCAGCAACGGTGCATGGAATCCGGGAAAGGTCTTCACTTTTAAGGACTCCCATGCTTAGCGTCGGTCCACTCAGATGATCCAGGATCATCTTTCCAAGACCCTTACCTAAATCTGATCTCTAAAATTCCTTTTACCATGTAAGGGAGCATAGCCATAGGTGCTGGGGATTTGGGTGTGGACAATTTGGGGGCCGTTTTCAGCTGACCACATTTCCACATAAAAGGAACTGAGAGGAGGGTAATGTTATCCAGCCTGCGGTGTAATCAAGCATAATGTTAGAGACCCGGACTGTAGTCCCAGCTGGGCCACTAACCAGCTAAATTATTTTGTCCAGGTTATCGAGTGTGTGGGATCCAGATTCTTTGTTCTTTTGTTTTAATAGATGCCACCTGACTTCATTTAATTATTCTTTGTATTCATTGATTGAACGAATATTGATGGGGTTGGCATTGTGCCAGGTGCTGGCACTAAAGCAGTGGACAAAACAGAGTAATCTCTGCCCCCTTGGTGCTTACGTTCTAGTGAAGGAGAGCAGACAACAAAAACTAAATAAATTAAAGCAGTAAAATACAGAGTATGCTGAACAGGAGGGGAGCGAGGAAACACCAGGGGCTCCAACGCTGCAGATGGAGTAGCTAAGGGCAGACTCAATGAGAAGGTACTGCTGTGGGGAGAATTCCCCTCTTGTTTAAGGACACGATGAAAGGTAGTCTTGTTCCCATACAAACCAGAAGGGGTATTCCATCCCATCGCGAGCCTTATGTATCTATATTGGGAATTGACAATTTGTAACAATTCAGGCATGGACTGACCACCTTCTCCCTTCATATTTTGCAAGTCTACATAAGATTATAGAAAAATGCCTTTTTCTAACACACACTATTAATTTATAAGTGAGAGACTGGCGTAATCAGTACACTGAGTAAAAATATTCTAATCTCTTAAGTCACAAAGTAATTTTACTTGTCAGTTCAACATTTCATTAGGTATTTCAAATTATATCATTCAAATGTGAAATTTGAACAGTAAGATTCACTAGTAAAAATCAATGCATTTATCATCTCATTCAGGTGGAACTTTTACCACTCATTTTCAACCCACCACCGTCTGCTGTATCCAAACATGCATTCTCCACATTACGTGAAGCTCGCAATGATTTCTACACAAGGAAAAAGAAAGAAAAAATTGTCTGGCTTTTCTAAGAAAAGCACAGCCTTCCCAATTTACAAATCTGTCATGTATTACCTTAGAAAGCGCATTGTTATATGCGAGTGATTCTGCTCAAGTATTTCCCAGGGATAATGAATTCTCAACCAACCAACTTTCAAATGTGTTTGGATAGAAAGGCCTCAAAACAAAATGGAAGAAATGAAATGGAACATGAGATTGAAAAGTTAAGAGAGCTGGGTTCCAGAGTCGGTTCCCACTGGCAATCAGTACCACTTGGGCATGCCACAGGAAATCTTTCTATCTGTCTCTTCTGTTAAAAAAACAATAAAAGGGCAGTGGTCACACCTGTCCTACCTGATTTCCAGCAGGATTGTGGAAGGACTGAATAAGATGGCATGTGTACAAAGTCTTACATGAACCGCAAAGTGTTAGCTCCATAAGTTTAAGGAAGTGTTACTGCCACTAAACCGCATCAGTGACCTGCTTCACAGATCAGCACGAACATCACAAGAAAAACACTGAGCAAGCACGGGAGGCCTCTGGAGCTGCGTGGCTTGGGGTGGCCTTGGAGGGATGCTGGTTGATCCATTCAGCAAACAGTTTACTGAGCACTTATCATCTTGATAAGTGCTTGATACGAAACACCAGATCAAAGGAACGTGGTGATGCTCGTTGCTTGTGAGAAGTATTTAAATCAGCATGAGCTGACTCCTTCAAAAGTGAAATGCGGCCGTGTTACCTTAATGAGGTCTTCCCTGGAGGAAAAACTTGAGACTAAGTAATTTTCTCTGGTCTTGGTGTTGGTGATGGATACGTGCAGTCGGTTGTGGGCCAGCTCGTGAGCGTTGTGGGGGAGAATCGACTCCATTCCACCTCTAAAGAAGAAAAAGTGACCCGTATTATTCACCTTTAATTATTGAACACCTTGTAAATATTTTAGAAGAGAGAACGCTGAGCTGAGTTTGCCACAGTTTATATAGAGTCTCCTCAGCATGCTGTCTTCACGTGCTTTGGGGGAATGTACAATATACGTACCTCAATCGGGCCATGAAATCATAGCCGGGTGTTACTGCCCCGAAAGACTGTCTTCGGACTTCTTCAGCAAACTTGTAGGTGAATTCATTACATTCCTGAAACAGAAAATGAATAGGTGACCCTATGTTTTGTCAAAAAAATTTCATTCTGGTTCCAGAACTCTGTGCTGATCACACAAGCCACCTGGACTCTAAAAACCCAAGGCCAGACTTTGGATGCCACACTCCACAGGTGCAGGAATCCCCACCTGGCCTGGTCCTCAGCCACCACTCCTGGTCCCCAGGCAAGCTATGTGTTCTTCCAATTCCACTCTCATTTTTGCTTTTAAAATCCCTTCAAATGGCATTGCCCACATTTGGAAAATCCTTGAAGGCTCCGTTCTAATTCTAATTTAGCATATTCTTCTACAGATTTCTTCAATTAACCTCTTCTCCCACCCCAATGCTGTGCCCTCAGAAACATTTCAATCGCAGCTCTGCAACAGTGCTGATTAGTAATGACGACACCAACGTTAGAGAAAGGAGTCATAATGACCACTGTTTGCAAGCACTGCATCAGTCTCTGGAGATCAGTCTTGGGCACAAGTATTTCGTAAAAGTCCCCCAGGCAGGTCTAATGGACAGCCAGGGCTGGGATCCACTGATGAGGCCCCTGTCAGCTCATCTTCACATAACGCCGCAAGAAGGGTGTGATCACCCACTTGACAGGTAAGAAAACTGAGGCTTGGAGAGATTAAGAGTCTTTCCCAATATCTCATCAAAAATCAGTGTCAGAGGCAGGATTTGAACCCAGGTCTGTCTTTCATTTATTAATGAATTCATTCAGCAACCTCCCAGCACCAGGCCCTGGGCTGGGCACTAGGACTTGGCCAAGAATGAGATACGAAGAGCTCCTGCCCTCATGGGGCTTAGGAGTGCCTCAATGAGTAGATCACAGAGAGCTAGGAGAGCATCCATGTGAGAGGCAGAATCAAGCCCCACCTTCCCCCAAACACACCAACATTCCAGTGCCTAGAACCCATGAATACGTTCCCTACATGACAAAAGGGACTTTGCAGGTATGATCAAGTCAAGGATTTTGAGAAGGGGAGATGATCCTGGATTATCCAGGGCCCCATGTGATCACGGGGGTACCTATAAGTGAAAAAGGGAGGCGGGAGCGTGGAGTCAGAGAGAATGTGAAGATGCTGTGGGGGTCAGAATAGGCCACCCCAAAATGTATCCCTTTGGCTTGATTATTTTTAAGGACAAAAGACTCTAAAAGAAACTTTGACCTGTCCCTTAACTGCCTAAAAGAATTTAAGATAGAAGACCTGTTCCAGGAAGGAGCTAACACCATAGATAACTATAGTATAACATAAACTAGGTGTGGTAGACAGGGAGGAACCTAGCAAGGGCTTTTTAATCAAAGTCCTCTCCACTCTCATTGTCTTCGCAAGGCATGATCCACATTTGTTTGCCAGACATTTGCTTTTCCGTCTCCATGTAAATTGCCTTCCTCCCCTTTGAAGTCCCAAACCAATACCCCCAACACCCTCCTTTTGTCTTTGCTGAAGATGTTTAAGGTGGTGGGTTCCACCATTTTGGTGAGTTACTCAGTTTTCCTGGGTCTCTCCCATGTATTCATGCTATTAAACTTTGTTTGATTTTCTCCTGTTATTCTGTCTCATGTGAATTTAATTTTTAGATCAGCCCAAGGACCTAGAGGGTAGAGGACTAGTTCTTCCTCCTTAGAATGCTATAGTTAGGCCTTTAAAGATGGAGGAAGGTGCCATGAGCCAGGGAATGCAGGCAGCCTCTAGAATCTGGAAAAGGCAAGGAAACTGATTCTCCCCGAGAGCCTCCAGAGGGAGCATGGACGTGCTGACACTTTGATTTTAGTCACTGAGAACTTCTCAGTACCCCAGAATTGTAAGAGAATAAATGTGCGTTGTGTGAAGCCACTAAGTTTATGGTCATTTATTGCAGAAGCAACGAGAAATAATACTGAGTCAACCTCCAACTTCAGGGGTCACAAAGGATTTGCTCCAACATGACATCTGGGCTGAGACCTACAATATGAACAGGAGTTGGACAGGAGATGGAGGTGGAAGATGATGACAGGCAAAGACAACAGCGAGGACTACCCAGAGAGGAGCACAGACTGGAAAGGCATCATCAGCAAGCCATGAGAGCGCTCAGTCACACAGCCCATGAGGCAGGCTGAGAAATCCCGACCCCATCCTAAATCAGCAAGGAGCCCCCGGGGTGTGGGAGGGGGAAGTGCGGGGGTGAGCATCAGACATTTGCTTGGGTAAACTCAGTCTAAGTGCTGTCGGGTGGGTGGTTTGTAGGCCACAGGAGTGGAGGCAGGAAGGAAGCCACTGTAGGCTTCTAGGTGACAGAAGGGGGTCGCCCCCCAAATATGTGCTCTTTCTCCTAAGCTAGACTGCCCACTGAGCTTCTTTTCTTGTATTAATTTTAGTTACACACACACACACACCTCTGACCAGACTGGAAACTTATTAAGGAATGGCCTTACTCATCTTTGAGCTCCCAACTCTGTGTAGCCATGCCCTGCTAATTGTGAGGGCTGAGGAAAGGCCCGCAGCACTGAGCTCGGAACATGTCAATGTCTAAATTCACCCACCACCTAAAATACACCCGGCGTCAGGTGCTCCTCTTAATTATACATGCATAAGCTCAGAACTAGATTAATTACTCCCATATTTGTCACAACACCACAAAGTTCGAGAAACTTACACCATGAGCGAGAACTGAGCTAACGGGGATTCAAGTAGGTAGAAAATAGTTTGCTAGAAAGACTCAAAATGATCCTACGAGTGGTATATTTCAAATGCTACAAAGAAATAACCTCAAGTCAAATGGCTGAAAATTTATTTCAAAAAAGGAGAAATGTGGATGTCCTAGGTAAATACAGAGAATCATTTTCCATCTTCCAATGTGAGCACCCAATAGACTTACCCTCTCCAGTTTATTGAAAAAATAAATAAGAATGGGTAATCTGACTTGAAAATATGGTGATTTCAAGTGTAAATTCAAGTAAACCATTCAATGTCTGAACACCACAGTTTTCAGTTAAGTGGCTGTATTATAGTATTTCCAAATCACATTAATTCTAAATCACACTTAATACATTTCTACGTCTGCTGAGGATTCGAAACCAAGTCTACTCAACTCCAAAGTTCAGGATTTGCTCCCACCTAAGGGAAAGACTGCACCAAACAGGAGTCAACGGCCCCTTAGTAGCTCCTGCTTCTGAAAGGAAACAAACTTCTGAGAAGGAGCTAGCTTGCAACTCAAACACAGGATTCTGCTAGTTTGGGGGGAGTTTTCACACTGTTTTATAGTTTCCCTGATTTCCAGTTCTCACGCTGTACAAGCTCTAAAGTTTTTAATCACTTTTCTAGTTCCTTATGAAGCAACCACACAGACTGGAAGAAAAGAGGAGTGGATTTTTGAATAACTGGGCTCAAACCCAGTTTCTCTTCCATAAGCAGATTTGAGAACGAGATTTTGGATGGTTAAAATTTTGCAGTTTTGAAATTTTAAATGTGACAAATTCACTCTTGGGAATGAATGCGTTAATCATTATTTGATTATTGTTCAAAGACACTAGAGTACTAGAGTATGTAAGTAATTAACAAATATATTTTCCACCTACAGGAGCCAGCTCTCACAGTCAGCAAATGCATGATCACTGTCTAGAAGCAGAAAACAGATTTTTAAAACATAAATTGCATTAAATAAAATACTTAATGAAGGCTTATTTTTATTATATCTGGATAAACTGGAATTCAGGGTTTCTTGCTATGAGAATGAAAAACAAATTCTAATATCATTCTACTTGATAGAAATTATGGGCCCACATTTTAATGTATACACCTATTTGTAAATAGGAGCGAGCAAAGAGTCATTGGCCACATGTTCAAGGCCTTGAAAAGAGGCCTTGTGTTCTTGTCATGATCAGATAAGGAAGAAATATCCTTCGCTTGAGAGAAACAGAGCTGGAATCATAAGACTAAATAAACTCTCAAGAGTAAAATAAGGCATTTTATTTCTTTGTCTCCTGTCACCAAAAATAATCTTCTTTTCCAAAGCCAGAGCACAGATCCCTAATGATTAAATTTTAAAAGAAAAGCATTCACCTTTTCTGTTTCCCAGGCAAAGGACTATTTCTCTGCAGTTAACTTAGTAGAGCTAACATTCATCTTTGCTGTTTGATCTTAATTTCTCGATGAGGAACACAGCCTAGTTACTACTTAATTACCTCTATTTTTTCTGGTGCTGTTAGCAGGACAGAAGCAACCAAGGATCCCGCAGAGGCGCCGGCAAAGGCCTTGACATCCTTCAGGAGCTTTTTGCCATGCCTGCATAGTGCAGATGCTGCCCCCAAGTGGTAAATGCCCAGAAATCCACACGCTGCAAACGACAAGTTGATGTGCTTCATTCTAGCTGCAAAACTGGCCATACAAAAACCCAAAAATGCTGTAAGTTGGTATAATGTATTCCACATGCTGTGTAGTCTTATCATCATTCCAAGCCTGTCTTCTAATAGATAATTCTCTGTTCTAAGCACAGTATTTTCAATTAAAGTCTAATTAAACACCCAAACCTTTCAAGGAAACTTTTTTCCCTCTCTCACCTTGACTCAATATAGTTTTATTAACTAAAAAAAGTGACATTCCATATATATATATAGATTATGCAATGTATTATTTAATTACTGGACAAAAGAAAAGATGGATAAATTCTATTCGGCAAGGCATTTGGTCTTTTTTCTTGTCCTTTTGAAACCTTTGGGGGGTGGGCTACTATTGTGGAAAGGTGAAATCATTACAGACTGTAGCAAATTCCAAATGAAGGACACCTTTGCTCCTTGCAAGTGCATCAGTACATTTCAAACAGAAGTGCTCGCCTCCACCCCACATTTCCATTGCGAGCATCCAGAATTTTTTAAAAAACTGATGCCCACAATTATTCAATAATGCAATAAGCAATTACCCAACAATGCAATATATTATATAGCCAAGTTTCTCAACACAAACTGAGGTCATGACTGGCAAGGGCAATTGAAGGCTTAAGGAAACGTTATCCGCACCACTTGATGTTTGCAACAAATATATAACGTTTGCCCAAGCCTCAGTGGGCAGGATTTCACCACGTGGATGAATTCCTGGCCCCTCAACGCTGCTCACTTGGACGCCCTCAGGGCTTCCCCGAGTCTCCGGGACCCCGATTCCGAGACCTTCAGATTAAGCATAGACCCCAGCTTCGACTCTAGGAACCTAAAGCCATTGTTTGATGCACGAAGCCGGGCCCTGCGCGGGAGGAAGCTGAGCCCCTGCAGCCGAGCCCCGGTTTTGGTTTAATTTCTGCAGATCGGAGGGAGGGGCGAGGTCGGGCGCTTAGTGCCCAAGTAGCGGGCCCAGCCCGCGCAGGCCCGGTGCCCGCCCGCGGCCTGGCGGCGGCAGGGTACGAGTCACTGCCCCACCAGCCCCGGGAGGTCCCGCCCCGAGGGCGGCCTCGGGGGGCCGAAACCCACCGCCCGCCCGCCCGGCGCTCCGCCCGCCCGGCGCTCTGCCCTACCAAAGCAGGCCTGAGGCACTTCCGTGTTGAACGCCCTCCCCCTCGCCCACTTAACCGGAAGGCGGGACCGGGCTGTCACTCAACACGGCCCCACCTATCAGGGCCAGACCACGCCCATTCGCCGGGCGCCCGCCCAGGAAGGTCCCGCGGCAGGGGTTGTGGGCCGGCCTACCAGCGCGGGTGTGTGACATCACCAAGCCAACGCGGGCGTACTCTCGGCCCCGACTGCTCTATTTAAACCGCTGAACTCAATATGGCGGCGCGCACTCGGCCGCATGACCCGGGTGTCCCGAGTGCGGGTAAGGGACAGAACTTTCTTGACTCCAGTCATGCTGTTTTCCGATACCTAGAGATGCGTTTTCGTCCCTGTGCGCCTTTTAGCGCCGCCTGCGGGCCAGTCCTCACCTGCGAGTCCGCTGACCCTGAACGACTTTCATTTGTTGCGCACCGGAAGTGCTTAGCCCTTTTCAAGTCTGTTTCCGGAAGTGGTTCCTCTTTCCCCACCCTCGGGGCGGTTCAGGTGTAGCTAAGGGCGGGATCCAAAGGCTGGGCTGGGCTGGGTGGTCCGGCAGCTTGTCAAGACCCACCTGTGATTTTTTCCATAAGTACTGTTGGAATGGCGGGACTGTGGCTTTGGGCCCGTTCATCTCAGTGAACCTTAGGCTGTGTGACTTTGAGCATGTCGCATAATCTCTCAGCTTTCCAGGTGACTCAGCTGCAACATGGGATGGTAAAATCCGAGTTGCCACTGAATTGTAAAAGCGCATGTTGCAAAGCGGGCCCTGAACACACAGGCACAGTTTCGTCTGGTCACCACGGCTCTGGACAGACCTGAGAAGCAGCTCTAAATGGTGGCCAAGCCAGCCGACATCCCCATGCAGATTCAACGGACTCAGACAATTTTTTCTCTCCCTTAAACAATGTCTTCCCTGTGTAATCCTAAAAGCAAGCCTGGAGAACTCTCAGATTTCCTGGTTGAAGGTTCTCCAAGTTCCCTTGTTTAAGGACAGATTTACTCTCACTGAATCTACAGAAGAGAATTTGAAAAATGCAAGTGTCTCTACCTTAAGCAAAGCAGAGAGGAAGGGGGAGCTCTTCAGATGACCCTCACCTTGGGCCTTTTCTTTCTCCCTATTTAGAGTGCCAGGCACCTAGGTTCTGGCTGGCAGCACTCTGCAAGTGGGAGCTTTGGATGTGATGACTAAGGAAGAGATGTTGTTTGTCATTCTTATAAATAGCTTTCTGAGACAGCTGATCTGGAAGACAACTGAATGCTTGAGCCCAGCACAACTCCATTACTCTGTGAATTCTTTTCTGCCATTAGGATTTAGTGAAGGGAAGGTGAAGTGCACATCAAGGAAATAGAGAGGGACAAGCTCTTCATTCTTTCATCCTTCCACTGTCCTCTAACTCTGTGGGAGTGTGTGAGCTCCCTGTGACAGCATCCTCCAGGAAGCTTATTAGGAAAGAACAATCCCAGGCCTCATATCAGATCTCCTGAAGCAGAATCTCCATTTTTTTTTTTTCTTGTGAGTGAAATTGGCCCTGAGCTAAGAGCTGTGCCAATCTTCCTCTATTTTATGTAGGACACCGCCACAGCATGGCTTGACAAGCTGTGCTAGGTCTGTGCCTGGGATCTGAACCTGCAAACCCTGGGCTGCCAAACTGGAGCATGCAAACTTAACCACTACACCCGGGCCGGCCCCCAGAATCTCCATTTTAACAGAATCCCCAGGGATTGCCATGTGTACTAAAGTTGGTGGAGCTTTGGTCTAACTCATCGTGGGGCCGTCTGGTTTAAAGTGGTATTGCAGCATTGAAAGTTTAAGGAGAGACAAGGTCCATGAGCCAGAATCTGGTATGGTGGTGGCAGAGTGACTGTTTCCTGTATTTGGGCACTGCCAGCAGCTTGATTCAGAAGACGGATGACAAATTTGTCACCGGGCTGCCTGGATAAACACCAAGACCATGGGATCATTTGCTTAAAGGAAAGGTAAGATCATCCATTGTTACCACACCTGCCGATAAGTGAGATACCACCAAATTTAAGTCTCATGGGAAAGTGTTGAAAAGCCTCCTTAATTTAATTCTTCACACTTCAATCTCTTTCCTCCTTTCTCCCTTCTACCTCGTATCGTATTTACATGCAACTAATTAAAAAGTTCAGCTCCCAAAGGTGAGGAAGAATATCAGATTCATTCACATTTGTCTTTGTAATCTCAGTGCCAAGCATAACACTTGGTGCATAGTATATGATTAATAACTATTTGTTTGGGGTGTTGGATTTGGGTAAATTATTCTTGTGATGTGAGTATGTAGTAATTTAATTATCCTTTAAGAAAAATTTTCGTTTGCCACAACTAGAAGGACCTGCAACTAAGATATGCAACTATGTACAAGGGGGGTTTTGGGGAGATAAAGCAGAAAAAAAAAAGAAAAAGAAAAATTTTCAGTAATTAATTTGCTTGTTTTTGCTTCTCTATTTTGCTTAGTAATTTGGTTCTGAACTGGTTTATTGAGCCGTTTATCAAACATTTATTAAGCATCTATTGTATAACAAACACTGTGCTGGTAACAGGGCATATAAAGTTGACAAGGATTCAGTTCCTCCTCATCGGAGTTGTAGAAGCTAGTGGGCAGGGAGACATCTGATGTATAGTTACAGAGGGGTGATACTGTGCTAGTACAAAGCCACACGCAGGTGCTCTGGGTGTGCACACTGAGCTAGAGGGTGGGAAGCTCTTGGCTCTAGGAGGCACCTACAAGAGCACCTGGCACAAAAACAGAGTCCCCAAGCCTGGCTGCCCTTTTCCCTGTCCCCAGCTTCTTCCCTCAAGGTTTTGTAATGTATCCCATCAAGAAGGAGAAAGGTACAGGAAAAGGGACACTTGTCACACCTCTGCCCCAAGGACAGGGCCTTATCTCAGAATCTCTGAGTCTAATCTCTCTTCCAGTCTACTCTTTTTTTTTTTAAAGATTTTATTTTTTCCTTTTTCTCCCCAAAGCCCCCCCGGTACATAGTTGTGTATTCTTCGTTGTGGGTTCTTCTAGTTGTGGCATGTGGGACGCTGCCTCAGCGTGGTCTGATGAGCAGTGCCATGTCCGCGCCCAGGATTCGAACTAACGAAACACTGGGCCGCCTGCAGCGGAGCGCGCGAACTTAACCACTCGGCCACGGGGCCAGCCCCTCCAGTCTACTCTTTAAGTAGTGTGGTTTTACTTCCCAATCTTGGCCTCTTAGCACGTGTTAATGCCTCTCTGGAGCATGCCATCATTGCCCCTGCCACACCCTCGTCCTCCCTCCTGCTTGCTGGCTCCTCATCTCCATCACCTCCTCCCAGAGTCTTGCCTGCTGATCCTGATGAACTGTAAAGACAAGACGCAGGCACTTTAAATTTCAGGGGAATGTGGCCTCGCTGTTGGAGCACAGCACAGCGCCCTTTCCACAGCGCCATGGAGGTAATGACTCATGTTGGCCTGCCCTCTGTGCCTCCTTGAAGCATCCCCTTGTTTTGAGACCACCGTAGAATTCTGAGAATTCTGTTGCAATGATGGAGCAGAACATCCATCTGAACCTGTAGAGAAAGAGGCTGCATCCCTTCCCACGGATCACAGTCTCTAAGGACAAAGCACAAGCAGTCATCAGTGAACGCCACTACGTGGAGAGGGAGGGAGCCAGCCCCCAAATGAAGGCAGCTTAGAGGGAGTAAGGACTGAGAGAGAGAGAGGGAGAAGCAGGCCTACATGTGGTGGCATTTCTGGAGCCTGTGCATGTAGCTGTACCCATCCCTGACTCACTCCCCCACTGCATTCACCCTTTTCTGTTTGTTTTGCTTAAACTAGTTAGAACTGAGTTTCTAAATCTTGCAAGCAAAACAGTTCTCACTAATATGAGTGCTTTTTCCATTGCACCTGACTGATTTCTCTCTGTAGTCATGCATCGCTTAACGACAGGGACACGTTCTGAGAAATGCTCATTAGGTGATTTTGTCATTATGTGAACATCGTAGAGTGTACTTACACAAACCTGGATGGTATAGCCTACCGCACACCTAGGCTGTATGGTACTGATCTTACGGGACCACCATCGTGTATGCAGTCCATCATTGATCAAAACATCATACGCAGCTCATGACTGTATTAGAAATATGCTAAGAGAATCCACTATGTAAGGAACATTGGGTGAATCCTTTCTAAATGGAAGAATATTTCTTTAAAAAATATGAATTATATATGTAATATATATATTTGTTATATATACATATATATATATAGCTCAAAAGACTGATAATGTCTGAAAACAATTCAAAATAGACATCCTTAAGAAATGTATTTATAGGGGCTGGCCCCGTGGCTGAGTGGTTAAGTTCACACGCTCCGCTTCAACGGCCCAGGGTTTTGCCGGTTCGGATCCTGGGCGTGGACATGGCACCACTCAGTTGAGGCAGTGTCCCACATGCCACAACTAGGAGGACCCACAGCTAAAAATACACAACTATGTGCTGGGGGGATTTGGGGAGAAAAAGGCAGGGAAAAAAAAAAAAAGATTGTCAATGGTTGTTAGCTCAGGTGCCAATCTTTAAAAAAAAAAAAGAAATGTATTTATTTATGATTGGATATATCAGAGAATGCATAATAATCTATAGGTCTTCTTAACATGACATAGAAACTAAATATCAAGTTATGCCTATTAAAGAGAAACATCTTTTAAATGTAACATTTATTTATAAGCTTTATTTTAACATGTGAAAGTTTCCAAATATAATATTATACATTGAGCTGAAAAATAGAGATGTTAAAGATTTTCTTGAGTGTTTCTTTTCTTGTATTAGAATTAATTAATTACAGTGCTTGCAATTGATATTCTATATAAGTGTAAGATAGAACAGATAAGCTTTCAAAATGTTCATACTTAAAAAATATATTTTATAGAAAAGGGGTTCAGATCTTTGGTAGCCAGGTGGTGATGTTGTGGGGTGGTGGTGGGAGTGGGGTACCAAATGCATTATGGAGTCCTAAATATTTTTAAAAGCCCAATAAAAGAAAATCTGTGTTCTCCACCCTGTATACCTTGTTGTAAAACAACTTTGCCCTTGAGCTGGCTGCTCATGGTCCACAATTGTACAGATGGATGGAAATAGTCCTTGTTATCCTTCAAATAATTTTCTTACAGTGGAGGGGATTATTGCAGAAATAATATCGGTGTCAAATAAGTGATATTGTTGAGTGATAAACAGAATGTCAGCTTTGTGCCTTATGCATCATCAAATTCACCAAAATAATCTCTTTTAATTTGCAGTACAGGATTTAATCATTACTGATACTGTTGTCAAAAGAAACACCCTAATTGCTAAAACATCCAATTATCTAATCACCTCAGTTCAAGGACACAAAGTAAGGATTTTGGTCTATTTTGTTTTTGCATCCACTCCTATTTACTGGAATCTTATTATTAATAATTACTGCTTGTTGGCTGTCCATTACATGCCAGTCCTTTATACACATTGTCTCATAAAGCTTTTACAACAATGATGAGAGGTAGGGTGATACAATAGATGAGAATTTAGAGTTAAAACAATTTTCCCACAGCCACACAGAGGCAGAGATTATCAGCCCAGGTCTCCCTAATCCCAGCCTGTACACAGCCTTCCTTCCCTACACTGGTTCAAAGTGAATTCATGAAATGGTAACCTGTTACTAACTGCTGAGCGGTGTGCTATTTGGCCACCATGAGTCTCAGAACCTTGTTATTCCTTCACTTTCGTCAGAATTTATAATTGGTGTTCCTGTTTAGATATTTGTAACTTTACTAAAAAGAAATGATGAAAGTCCTTAATAAATGTGATGTATGTATTTATTTATAGCATTTAGGGAACTTGGTCACATCTGGAAAGGAAAGTAATTCTAGCAATTAATTAAAGCTGCCCTTTCTCCATTTGTCAATTACAGCAGGAACTCTTTTTGATTACTCCTTTTCCTGGAAGCTATGTCATAAAGTAGGTTATTGTAAAGAGAAGGCAATTTCCGTTAGGAGCAATGTCATAGAAGGGGATCAGCGTCATTGACCAAGGTCTTAACGCCAAATAAATCATCTAATCATTTGTCTTCATGCCTTTGCTCACTCTTTAAATAAACCTTATTTAGTGTCTAATATATGACAAAGACTGGACTAGGCATCGGAAAATTAAAAAAAAATCTTAAGTTAAACTGTCCATTTTTAGATCATTGTTTTTTCTTGCTAGAATGTACTTTCACATTTTTCTCTTCTATTAAGCCCTACTTATTCTTCAAGGCCTAAGTCAGACTCAGCTCCTTTGGTATATCCTTTTGGATCACGTTTAACCACCTTCTGTCAATATTAAGCACACCCTCCTCTTGGTTACCATGCATGAGGCATTGTGATAGCATTTATGACCTTTTATTTCCGTTGAGATGCGGTTGCCTCCACTTTCTGTGTTTAGAATTCATTTGGGGCAGGGGCTGTCTTGTACTTGGTTTTCACCAGCATCTAGAAGGTAGCTCAAGCATAGTAAATATCTGTAAGAGATGGGAATCTTTAGTGTGCTTATTTCAAATATCTAACTGGCTTAAGCAAAAATAAATTGATAGTTCAAGTAATCGAGAAATTTAGAGGTAGGGCAGATATGGCTAGATCAGGCACAGGATGGGTGCTGTCAGGCTACCATTGTGCCATTTCCTAATTTTCTCTTCTTAGTTTCATTCTTCAGGCAGGACATCCCTGGAGGCTGCTGGCAGCCCCACATCCTCTTAGCATATCAGTAGAAAAGTTCTTTCATTGCCTACCTCCCAAACTTAGAAAAAGACTCCTGCTGGTTCTGTTTTTATCGCATGCATGTCCCTGGAAGCGTCAGTGTGAACAGCACATTGTGATACAATGATGTGAGCCCATGGTGGGATGAGTGTATGTTATGCAGGCATGGACAAAAATGAATGGAAGCATTGCCAAGTCCAGATGGAGTTAGTTGGGAAGCC